AGGTTACATAAACAGATTAACAAAATCTAAAACTAACAAGGACAAGTGGAAGCTATATCCAAAATACACGAACATCTTCAGGGTCAGCTCCCGACATCACCAATAGCTCCGCTCCAAAAATCAGCATGCAAGGTGCAGAAGTGTAGTATGAGTACAACCGACCCTATGCACCCAGTAAGTATTTTGTCTAACCTCGTCGAAGTAGTGATGAGACTTTTTAGTTAAAAGATGCTCACTGATAAAATCTGTATTGTAAACTAGCAATAGAACTATATTACGGTATAACAGAATAGAGTACACGAAACGAATGTACAAAGCAATAACGGAGTACTAGAAGAGATCACAATTCAACAGTTTCCAATATCTCGACCAATTTTTTCCTTAGAACGAAAACCAATAAACCACAATAGTCACCCCATACCTTTCATAGCATGAGGAATATACCCTGATATTAAGTCAATTGCACGGCAACACCCTTCGTGCATTTACCTTATACTCACCAAATATGCTTAAAACAGTACCAACTAGATGGTAGAAATGCTGATAACAGTAATGACAAAGTAGGAAATACGCAAGTAGAAATAATGAACGAGGATGTACATAAGGGCATCAGTAACACACTAGGCGGAAAGCATAGGAATAATGACAATAATTAGGAAAAAGAAATATAACTTCAACTAACTAGCATAGTGGAGGCATAAATATAGATATAATGAATAAGAGGGGAACACATGATCTTTATGCGTTAACAAGTAGAAGCACGAATGACTAACATGGTAGAAGGCATGTACTAAGTGCAACCAAAATAGATACGACAAAGATATAATTATGAAAGCAGGAAGTAGGCATGAGTGGCACAATAACAAATAAGAAAAAGAACAAGAACATGGCAGTAACGACAAGTCACATAAGAACCATAAATACAAAAATAACAGCTCAATGTAATGGCATGAACGTATACACAAAGAAAAGGCATCACAACATAATGCATGTCCCTCGTCCTCACCTGCACGGAAACACCCATCGTGCCATAAACTCATGATAATTTAAAGCATGATAATATAAATGAAATGGCGCGGCATCACCCTTCGTGATTTACACTCACATAACATAGCACGGCATCACCCTTCGTGCTTTTACTCACAAATGATATGGCACGACATCACCCTTCGTGCTTTTACTCTCAATAATATCGCACGACAGCACCCTTCGTGCTTTTACTCTCAATAATATGGCACGGCGTCACCCTTCATGCTTTTACTCTCAATAATATGGCACGACATCACCCTTCGTGCTTTACACTCTACCTCACATGATAATGTATAAACAAAGGCACGACATCACCCTTCGTGCTTTACAATCTTCCTTACCAAGCATAAGTATATCAATGACAAACAAGGCAGGAAGCATAAAAAAAGTCAAGGAGAGTGTTTAAATGAATATTCCAAATGAATCCCAATCACAACTTTCCAAGACAACAATAGTTCAATAAACCCGCAAGAACCTTATTATTCAAGTATTCCAAAAAATCTCACAAATGATCTACAACACAAGTATAGAATCTAGTATCTCAAGAATATCGGTCGTAGCAATGTATTAATGATTATGCATATTGATGACCGAATTAAACACACCAATGTATTCTCGGAATTTCCATCAAATTTGATCAAGTTATAATAAGTTAAGTCTTAGTTTCTAACATTTAATACTATGTTCTTAGTATCTATGAGTCATGTAAGGCATGAGGCAAGTAGGTCACGTGATTCTACAAGACATAATTTATAACATAATTTACCACCGAGCATGGCTAACCCAGGCACATGCATATATGCTCGTCACCTCATATATGTATCACCCCCACATGTAGAAAATAATGTCAAATAGTAGGAAAAATTCCCTCAACAAAGTTAGGCAAGACACTTACCTCAATTCGGCTAACTCAATACTCAATTTAGCTTTTTCCTTTGCAATTTCACCTCCGCTCGGCTCAATCTAGCCAAAGACGACTTAAATACATCACACAACGCAAGGTAAAATAATTTTAATTAATAAAGCTGTAGTTTTTATACAATTTCTAAAAAATCAATAAAAGTCAACTCCCAGGCCCGACCGATCAAAACCCGAGTCCAAGGGTAGGTCTTGACTACCCATAGCCTCACGAGTCCAAATATGTAACTTGTTTCCAAATCCGAGTCCTATTCGACTCTCAAATCCTAAATTTTTATTTTTCAAAGTTTTGACAAAATCCCCAAATTATTCCCTAGATTCTCATGATTTTGATGTTAAATCTTATGTAAAATCATGAAATGTAGTTGAGAATTGATTAGAGGTACTTACCCAATGATTTTGTATGAGAATCCCTTCATAAAATCGCCTCCCATTAAAGCTAGGTCTCGGAATTCTCAGCTATATGCAGGCTGCAGATATCGCATTTCCAACATTGGGTTCGCAAATCCGAACAACTAATCGCAAAAGAAAAGTTTTGAAATTCTCTGTTGCCTTCGCAAATGCGAACACTGGCCCTTCGCAAATGCGAACACTGGCCCTTCGCAAAAGTGATTAATTGGTCACAAAAGCGAACTAACCCCGCCCAGGCCTTTATCGCAAATGCAAACTCAACACGCTTCGCAAAAGCAAAAAATTCTTCGCAAATGCGAGTCCTTTCCCCAGCAGCCCAGCTTTGCAAATGCAAGGCTGCTTCGCAATTGCGATAGTCGCATTTGCGACAAAAACATCGCAAATGCGATGACACCAGTACTAGTACTCAAAATCTTGAAAAAGTATTCCGGATCCAATCTGAAACTCACCCGAACCCCCGAAGCTCCAAACCAACTATGCACCCAGGTCCAGAAACACAACAAGAACTCGCTCGTATGATCAAATCATCAAAATAACCTCTATAAGAACGAATCGAATGCCAAAACGCATGAAGATCAAAGTAAACTTCAAGAACTTCTAGAATCGCAACTGAGCGTCCGAACCATATAAAATCAACTCCAAATGGTGCCAAATTTTGCAGACAAGTTCTATATGACAAAACGAACCTACTCGAGGTTTTAAATCACGCATAACAACCTCGAAACGATGAGTCGCACCTCAAGTAAAAATTAATGAACTTTGAAATTTCAATGTCTACAACCGATGTCGCAACCTATCAAAATACGTCCAATTGACCTCGAATTTTGCACACACGTCATATTTGACATTACGGACCTACTCTAACTTTCAGAATTGGAATTCGACCCCGATACCGAAAAGTCTACTCCCGGTCAAACTTCTCAAAAAATCCAACTTCCGCCATTTCAAGACTAATTCGACTACGGGCCTCCAAATTACAATCCGGACGCGCTCCTAAGTCCCAAATTACCCAACGGAGCTAACGGAACTAACGAAACTCCATTTCGAGATCCAATGCTAAAAGGTCAAATTTGGTCAACTCTTCCAACTTAGAGTTTAAATCTTGAAGTTCATTCTTCCAAATCTATCCTGGATAAGTTGGAAACCAACACCGACGATTTACGCAAATCATAATACATCATGCAGAGATACTTGAGCCCTCAAACTATCGAGAAAGGTGCGCCTGACATGGCATTTCTACGATTAAATAATATTTCATTCTGGTTGTTGTCTCCAAGTGCAAATGCGTAAAACGACCAGTCAGGTCGTTAGAGTTGATTGTACTTTATACCACAGTCTAGTGGGTGCTTTACAGTATTTGACCCTGACTCGACCTGACATTGTTTTCGCAGTAAACACAGCTAGTTAACACTTACATAATCCTACTTCTACTCACTTTATTGCTATTAAATGCATTTTGTGTTATATTGCTGGTACTCATGATTTTAGGTTGTTGTTGATACCAATTACTACTTATTCTCTTACTGCGTATTCTAATTTTGATTGGGCTTGTTGTCCTGATATTCGTCGGTCTACCACTGGATCCCTGGTTTTCTTTGGTCCAAATCATATATCTTGGTCTTCTAAGAAATAAAATACTGTCTCTCGCTTTAGTACCGAGATTGAGTATCGTTCCATGGCTCAAACTATAGCTGAGGTATTAGGGATCCAACAGTTGCTACGGGATTTGCATATTTTTCTTTGTAATGCACCACTCATCTTTTGTGGTAATGTAAGTGCCCTATATCTTACGATGAATCCTATATATCATTCTCGTACAAAGCATCGTGTAGTTGATTTTCACTTTGTACGGGAACGTATAGCCTCTGGATCTATTCCTGTTCGTTATCTGCCGACGGAGCGCCAACTAGCTGATATTCTTACGTAGGGCATATCCTCGCATCAATTTAAGACTCTTTGAGACAATCTTGGCATGTCCCCACACTCGATTGAGAGGGCGTGTTGATATGCATATATATTTTACCATGTTAGCCTATGAGTAGTTGTATGTTACCCTTCTAAATAAGGGTATTCTTACATTTTATACTTATGTACTGCTTTATAAATACAATAACAACCCCAAACATTATTATGGGGCATTATTATATGGTAGTGGAGTGGCTTCATATCTATTTATAAAGGGAAATTTGGCCAAATTTTTTAAATTAAAATACGCTTGTTTGGATGGTTCAAACTACCTAAGCATTGTGACATGATCCTAATTTGGGTAGTAAAATTGAGTTCGTCACTCTTTCTCACATACACTAGGAGAAGATATTATGATACCAAGTCTCATAGATCTTTCTTTGGTTTCTTTTATGAACTCCATTGTTCGTCCATGAATTATATGAGCTTTCCATTATATAGATATGAACTTTTGCATCCTACTTTGCAAATCATATTTCCCTTAGGTATATAGATTCAACTCTGTTTATGTCCTTTAACATAAGACCAGTTTATTAAGAGAGAGGGTGTGTATCTTGTGTGTGTAAATTATAATGCATGTGAGTTGGACTTTACATGAACACTTTGTTTGAGCATCGAAGGAACGCTGAAATCCAAGAACTGAGTTTTACAACCTATATACACAAAGGCAAAACTAGTTATAGATCTCTTCCTTGAATTTATGCCAATGCTAGTTTGAAATTGATCTCTATCTACTTGGAGTGGGCAATATATGAAAAATCCAAAATTGTTTTTCCTAATTCAAGAAGGTAATCAAGTGGATAGTTCTGGTGATCACAAGCTATTTGAGAATCCATCTATATTGAGGGGGAAAAAATTAAAACTAGCTTGGGACAGGCCATCTTTGACCACAAGGACCAGTCCTGCACCATGGATTAGTCAAAGCAACCGATGTGTATCTGATTTTATCTGCAAACAATAATGATGAAATAACAAAAAATAAAATGATAGAAGTAAATATAACAGCAGCAGTAACAATAAGAATAGTCACGCATATGAGTTGTTTTAAATCCAACATTAAATTAAACATTAATCTTGTCCCAATTTATATGATGCACTTTCTTCATTTGTCAGTCTAAAAAAGAATGATGTATTTATATTAAAAAATAATTTAACTTTATACTTCCGATTATATTATTAATGATATGACTTATGGCCACATAAATATCTATAACTTATTTTAAATTATAAATTTTAAAACTCTTTCACTTTTTAAAATTCCGTACCTAATCAAATTGCATCATAAGTGAGACAAGTTTGCATTTGCCGTATGGATCAAAAGATTGATATGATTCGGCCTGGTCAAATTTCAAGCATTACTTTTAATTTTTATAAACAATACTTAACCATTTACAAACATTAAGGTGATAACATAAAGCATGAACTTTAGAGCATTCAAAACGTATTATTATTCATCCCAAATTATTTATTATATTTCTCTTTTACACGATAGAAACATTAATTAGAAGGGATTTTTGATTATTTTACCCTTATTTATGTCCTAAGATATAATATATCTTTATTGAATATTTATTTTATTTATGTGTCATCTCTATCTTCAAGAACAATTACTACTAAAGATAAAATGAGAAAAAAATAATTAATTTTGTCTTGAACTTCTAAAATGATAAATAATTTTAGACAAGTATTTTTAGAAACCACGGCAAATAATTTGAGGCGGAGGGTGTAATGTTTATTTCCATAAAAGAGGTCCTCATATTTGGGAAATTATATATAGAACAAGCTAAATATTTTGCATAGAGGGATTGCACATTACTGCTTAATACTAGTCAGTATAATAAATTATAAAATGAAACTGTGTTGCAGAAAGTTTTGGTAAGAGAGCTTGAGGTGGTTAAACATCAAACAGGTAATTTTTCTTTTTGTTTTAGGCATCCAGAATTAGGAAACTACTGGTTTGACTAGTCTATTAAGAAAGCAGATTTAATAGGCTCCTTACCAAGAGACAAGATAGTCCACATTTTTAGAAGAAAACTCCATAAATCTTACCTTGACAACTAACTGGTCGAAAAATATTTGAGATCTTATCTATCTTTTCATTGCTTCTTGAACTGGAGGTGGCGTGACAGTGAAAACAGCAACAGCATGGCTTTGTCTCTCAATATTTTCTGCCCATCCTGAACATATCAATTTACAAATTAGTAAAACATTAGGATAAGACTCTCAACAAAGAAAGAATAACGTAGAAATAGACATAGAGATTGAAGCATATAATTTAATTAATGAATTCACAAAAGTTTGTTTTGAATTGTCTGATCTCACTATAATGATATTGTTTCGTTCCTCTCGAACTGTAGTTTATAAAAATTTACAAGGATTGTTTTTTCACGTAAAATTTTGGTGACATTTGCACAAATTTTATCCCTGTTAATATAATTGTGAATATTCCTTTTGTGGTTTTGAACAGATAAAATTACCAAGACTAGGGTCAAATCCTTGACGATGAAGCTCACGATATTCTTGACACAATGCACAATAACAGCAAAGTGTATGAGTTAGGCAATCAAGAACGCCATTCCCTTCCAACTTGAACTTTCTTCTCAATTTAACCCTGTTGTAAAAAGTGTAAAGAGGTGCAGCCAAACAGAAACAACAGAGCAAGAAGTTTATTATCACTCCTTCCATGCATGCTGTCCCAAAAAGGAAAAAAAAATAAAAAAATTAGAGAATAAACATAAACAAATTTTGTCACGACCCAAAAGCTTCACAAATATATCATAGGATTAATTGTTCGTCTTACACGTTCGTCCTTCACTGACAATTTCTGCAATTTGCCCGGATGTTATACATGGACAAAAACATGTTTTAAGACCTATACACAAAGAAAAAAGACCATTAGGCATATTCATAAAATTATAGGAAATGATTTATACAGAAACAAGAAAAATAACAATTATGCTTCAATTTATAGAATTATAGGAAACTGAGCCTATCTAAGCTTGCTTATATTGCCGATTCCAACACCGGATAAACAAAGAAGTAACAATAGGTTGACCGTACGCATAAAATTATAATGAATCCCGATCAGAATACAGAAGGCGAAATGATGTATGAAGGAAAAAAGCAACGGCGGGACATACAATTTTTGGGGTCTCTACAACATGCAAAAATGTTGGTTGACCAAGTTGTCTTTTGCATAGGTTTGGTTATTCCAATAGGGGCTCTTTGAACATATACAGAAGACCCAGAAGATCTATATGGTGGATGAAGTTGTTGTGTTGGGGGCATACCATACCCATAAGGTAATAAATGAGGGTAAAAATATGGTTGAGAAGATTTTTCTAATGATTTAGAAGCGAATTGGTCATACCCATTCGAGTTTATATGGGGATACATTGTTAATTATTAGCAGAAACAGAGATCAGGACAAAACAGACATGGAAGGGAGGGATAGCAAGAAGAAAAGAGGAAGGAGGAGGAGAGAGAAGTAAGGGCTTTAGTTCTTGATTTTTGATCTAGGGGGTTGAATTATTTTCCCCAAGAATTTGTTTAATCAATTTTCTTGGAAGCTAGGCCGGGCCACATTGGCTCCTAATTTTTTACCAAAAGAAAAATGGCTATATTGATTACACTTTTAGGAGTGGAAGACTAATGGATGGTTATAAAGTATGCAGATTCTTGGAGTTTTGTGCCCGCACACTCGTCATTTGCTTATTTGATTTATCTTTTAACTCGAGGAGTGTACAAATTCAATAAGGACAATAAAGGATTAAATCATTAAATGTTGTGAAAATACACCTCTTGAGAATCGTTTCAATATTTGAAAATTTTCAAGCATATATCACGTGTTTTTATAGCTGCTGTGTTTTTAATTTGGGTCTTGCAACTACATATGGAAATTATACCTCCTGTGGCAAACTATTACAATTTATTTATTATAAATCATAATTTTAAAATATTACTCTCTCTGTTCCAGTTCATGTGAACTTATTTCTTTTTTTGTCCGTTCCAAAAAGAATGACCCATTTCTAAATTTGGTAATAATTTAGCTTAAACTTACAATTCTACTCTTAATGAGAAGCTTTTATAACCACACAAATAATCTGAGTTTCTTTTTAACTTGGTTAGTACCACAAATTTCAAAAGTCTTCATTTTTTCTTAAACTCCGTGCTTAGTCAAACAATATCACATAAATTGGAACGGATGGAGTATTACTTATAGCTATCTTTTTTATTTTATAGCAAAATAGGTATTTATTTATACCTACCATTGAGACATGAAATACGCCAATTATGTTCTTTCTCTCTCTCTTCCTTCTCTCTCTATCAGCAAGATTCTCAATCCTATCTCTCCCTCTTCTCCATCAAATTAGCAGAATCGTCGGCATCATCATCGTGATCGTCGTTAGAATCCTCGTCGGCGTCAGAATCCACTATTGGCTCATCCTCTCAGGCGAACATATCTGGCCATAGCTACACCGGCGACGATTTGAGGGCCGGGTTTTGTTCGTCTCTATTTTTACTTTTAGTACAGTGTATACAGTATTTTGCTTGGCCGGAAATGCCATCTCCGGCGAACTTTCTTCTCTTCTTTGCTATTTTAGTCACATACAATGATACAAATACATTGTATTCTGTACAAATACACTCAAATACATTGTATATTTTTTATAAATACATTAATTTTTTGCATGTATTTATGTATTCCGAAGGTCTGTACTTTTTGAATAAAACTGAATATCACTATGTGTTGTGATTTTATGTTGTTTAAATAGAATCGAATTGAATACGGTGAATTGAATATAATGTATAATAGTGAATAATGAATATCAGTGAATGGAATACAATGTATACAGTCGAATTGAATAGAACAGTATACACCATATTTTTTGATTACCTCACTATATTTATAAATACAGTCGCGCGAATACATGAAATACAATATTGTAGCAGCAAAATTTATGTAGAATTGATTTTGTTAAGTTAAATTAGGAGTGATACACGCTAATTGATCCTCTTTTCGTAATTTAACACCTGGACTCCCCTATTTTTAGGCGAATTCCGCTACTGTATTCATGAATACAATAACGCGAATACAGTCGGACAACTGGACTTCCCTATTTTTAGGCATATTCCGCTACTGTATTCATGAATACAATAGCGCGAATATAGCGAATACAGTCGCGTAATAACTAAATAATAGTTATAGGATGTAATTATGTATATGGTAGCTATATGGAGTAAATAGCTACTAAGCAATAGTGATTTTTAAAAATTTCTCAATACATATATGCTACAGTTATATCCCCCTTCCCCCCAATAAAAATCTTTTAGAGCACGTTTGAAAATCCACATAAGAATTGGATTCCACTTTGGATGTAATCACGCAGTTTAGTATGTTTGTCTTGCCAATTAATTAATTGGTCAGCATGAAATTAGGTGTAACTATGTAATGACTTAGCCAATTATTTTGTGTATTTGAGCCTCATTTCCCTATTTGATGTTTGTCGTATGCTTGTTTGTTATTTTGTGACTTGCGGGGATGGTTGGTTTAGTTTCGGAAAGGTTTTAGAATAAATTGGAATACTTAGTTCCCTTGTTGGAATATTAAGTTATAAGAGTTGACTAATATTTGACTTTTCGGTAAACGACCACGAATTAGTGTTTTGGTTCCAATTAGTTCGTATGGTAAGTTTGGACTTGGGCGTATATTTGGAATTTGATTTGGAGGTTCCTAGGATATTTTAGCATTTTTTGTAGAAATTTGACAATTTGGAGGTTTGGAGAGTTCCCTAGTTTGACTGAGGGTTTGACGTTGATGATATCAGATTCAGATTTTTGTTCTAAAAGTTGGATTAGGTTCGGATTATCATTTGGGACTTGTTGTAACGACCCGACCAGCCGTTTTGAGCTTTAGCATTTCGTTCGGTAGTTTGAGATCTTGATTAGATCCATATTATGTATTATGACTTGCATTTATGGTTGGTGTCGGTTTTCGAGCGAATCGAGATTGATTTGAAGATTTATTCTCATTTTAGAAGCTTACGTTGTAAGAGTTTATCGGAGTTTGACTTTTGTGTAGATGACTCCGGAATGGTATTTTGATGATTTCAATAGTTTGGTATGGTAATTTCGGACTTAGGCGTGTGTCCGGATTTTGATTTGGAGAACTGTATGTTGGTTTGGTGCTTGTTGGTGAAAGTTGTAGATTTGGAAGGTTGATAGGTTTGACTGAGAGTTGACTTTGTTGATATCTGGTTTGGATTCTGGTTTTAGAAGTTGGAATAGGACAGCTGTGTCATTTTGGATTTGCATGAAAAATTTGAGGCCATTCCAAGTTGATTCTATATGGATCGGCGTGAGTTTTAGAAGTTAAAAATTCATTAGTCTTGAGGTGCGATTTGTAGTTCTGATATTGTTTGGTGAGATTTGAGGCCTCAAGTAGATCTGGGTTATGTTTCGGGATTTGATTGGTATGATTGGACGGAGTCCTGGAGCCCCTGGTGTATTCCAAACGGGTTGCGGATAATTTTTAAACCTTGAATTACAAACGATTCTAGGTACTGAAACTTTCACACCTGCGGATAAGGGGCCGAAGATGAAGCAACAAAGAAGCGGCCAGGCGAGGCAGGTGCAGACACTGATTGGAGAAGGAAGGGATCCGGTCGAAGAAGCGAAAGTGCACATGTGGTTAAGGTCCGCAACAGCGGAAGCATAGAAGCGCGTTGTGGACTGCAGATGCGGTTGATCGGCAGATGCTGTGAACTCGCAGATACGAGACTTTTTCCGCAGAAGCGGTTGTCGCAGATGCGACTAAGTGACCGTAAAAGCGGATTTGTTGGCAAATTATATATAGTTTGAGGGTTTGTTTATTTTTATCACATTTTGAGTTAGAGAGCTCGGTTTTAGGCCATTTTGGAGGGGATTTTCACGATTTGATTGGAGTAAGTATTTTTGACTCGAATTTGTTTATATTTCATGATTCTAACCTCAATTTTAGTGTTTGATTGATGATTTAAATTTGAGAAATTGGGGATTTTAGCAAAAACTTTTCTAAAACATAAATTGATGATTTGAAGGCCTATTTTGCGTCAGAATTGGATAATTTTGATATGGTTGGAATCGTATCAGAATGGGTGTTCAGATTTTTTGAGTTTTGTCGGGTTCCGAGGTGCGGGCCCAGGGTTGACTTTTATATTTTTATTAAATATCGAATCTTTATTAGCCAGAACTATTTTCTAAGGCTTTTATTTATGATATTAAGTTATTTTGGGTGGATTCGAGCCGTCTGGAGGTTGTTTCATACGGGAAGGGCTTCTTAGGGTATTGATTTAGCTTCTTTGAGCTAACTATCTTGCCTAACATTGTGTAGGGGAAACTACCCCGTAGGATTTGGTCTATTTGCTTAAATTTGCTATGTGAAAGACGTGTACATAAGGTGATGAGTGTGTACCCGAGCTGTAAATATGCTTTTAATTGAAGTTATTGTTATATGGAATATCTTTCATTATTGGATTATTTCCCGTTTCATTGTGATGTTGAAATTATTGTATACATTGTCGTTGAGCTGTGGGATGTGCTCTATTGTGAGATTGGTACTGTTTTTTGGCAATATTGTGGCATATGTGGTCTTGTTGTGTGGATTGATTGTTGTTATGCGAAGAAAAAGTGGAGCATTTCATTGCTGTTGATTATGCATAGCGATACGGGTGGCTATTGAGTATATTGCTAGGGCTGAGTGATACTGGTGTCTATAGAGTATATTTTCTAGACAGAGTGATATAGGTGGCTATCGTGTTATTGTCAGGGATGAGCGATAGGGGTGGCTATTGATAACTTGTCAGAGCAGAGCGATAAGGGTAGCTATTATGATATTGTCATCGCAGTGAGATATGAATGGCTATGTGGGGATGATATCTGATGGCCTAAGGATATGTTGTTGATGAAAGGGGTATTCCTGCTTGTGCTTATGACTTCCTTGTGCGTGTCATGCATAATACGTGATTTTTTATGTTGTTCCCAATATGCTACTCGATGATTCTGATATTATATGATGATTTGAGTTATGCTAGTACACTTGAACATGCATTCACCGTAACATGTCATTTATAGCAGTCCATGAGGACGAAACTTGATGTGCATTGATCATGTACACATATTCTTGTATAATAATGGACTGGTATCCTGTGACCATGCCAGGCGGTTTGTGATACTGAGCATGTGACCACGCCGGGCGAATTTTGATTATTGGCACGTGAGTTATCTTTGCGCTTGTGACTTATATTGTGGCATGAGGACTTGGCTATGCAAGGGTGATAGATAATGTGGGCACAAGGTTCTATGTGTAAGAGATTCGTGCTTCATGACTTGAAATTTGTGGTTATTAGGTGTGGTGCCTCGGGGTGAATCTTGTTGTAAATCCTATTGTCGGAACGTTTTGTTGATTAGAACTGTCGTTGTTTTTCCCTAATTGCTTTCACTTGCTTCCACTTCCAACCAAGAGGTTGTGAGTTCGAGTCACCCCAAGAGCAAGGTGGTGAGTTCTTGGAGGGAGAGAGCCGAGGGTCTATCGAAAACAGCCTCTCTACCCAGGATAGGGGTAAGGTCTG